AAACTGGGTGCTGTTCTGCCTTCTCTAGACACATGACCTCCTATTCTTAAAACAGTACAACTGTTATCTTTACCCCAGGGGACATTGTGGTATGACAGTGTTCATGTAGGAAAAATGGGCTGGCCTCCTGTTATGGGGTGAACTGTGTCCCCCAAAAAGACTTGTTGAAGTTCTGACTCTGGTACCTATACATGTGATCTGATTTGAAAACAGAGTTGTTGCAAATGTAAACCACCCAGTCTTGGCATTTTGTTGTCAGCAGACTACACAGGTGGGTAGGTTTGAGACAGCTGAGAGGGAAGCCATATCAAAATGTTTAACAGGAAGACCGAAATGCAAGTAGAGAACAGATGTAGAAGTCACCAGAGTTTGGGTTGAGGCTGAAACCATGGAAGTACACGTGATCAACTGTGGAATGTTCTAGAATAAGAGGACCGAAGGCTAAGGATAGACTCTGAAGGGCAGTGAGGAGCCATGGAGGAGCTGTGAAGGAGCAGTCAGAGAGGTAAAAGAAAACCAGGAGGTGGAAGTGAGAGGAACCCAGGGAGCAGGATGGACAAGGACAGGGAATCACATCAGGGTGCTGGGGACTCAACCCACCCACCTTTTTATAGTAGAGGGGGCTCCTCACCAGGAGAGTGTGAGAACGATGGGCTTTACCCCTCAAACAAAAAGTCAAAGGTAGAAGGGGCAAAAACAAAAAACGTGGCCCACCCAATTTAGCCCCTTGAATTTTCACTGGGCCAGGTTCCAACGCACTGTGAGGCCTCCAGGCTCCTGCAAGCCTGATTCTGCCTCCTGCCACTTCTGGCTCCACGCCCTGCACTGAGGCCTTAGAGAGCCATCTCACTTCTCTGCCAGTCTGGGGAGGGAGGGCCCTAGGTGGGGAGTGCTGGTGTAAGGCAGTGACCTAAACCCAGGGCCTGTCAGAGCACCTGGTGGCAGATCCAGGTGCCTGGCTTGGAGGACAGGAAATGTGGAAGGTTTGGCTGGAGAGAAACTTTGGTGACATCCCCAGGGGAAGGCACTATCTCTATGCCAGACAATGTGCAAGGAACCTTGAGATCTCATTTCACTCTCTTAACAATGCTCTAAGATTCGCATTATTATTTCCATTGTACAAGTTGGGGAACTGAGGCTGAGAGAGACCACAGCCTCAAGGTTACACAGCTGGGACCACACTGGGATTTACTAGGTCTGGTGCAATTTCGGAGTCTGTGCCATTTTCTAGAATCCACTGCCTCTATGCACAGAACCTGACATAGTCCCTGTGGGTTTGCTATGTCTCTAAACACCCAGACTCCCCTTCCTAATTTGTCACGGCTCCAAGGAGAAGTCCTGTGACACCTAGTCCGTGACCAGCATTCACACAGCGTATGCTTTATACCACATCGAGGCTGCTAGCTATTATAATCACAGCACCCAGCAAAGTGTTGGTCACATAACAAAAGCTTAGCCAGTACTGGCTGAGTGAAATGGACAAATGAACTTGTGAACAAAATTCCCAACCTCTGGTGACATGGAATCCAGGTTCATGATACATGGTCTGTTTGATTGGGGCAAAGCTTTGGCTTCTATAAAGATTTTATAAAGAATTGAAATTATGTAACCTTGGGAGGCTTCTGGGGCAAGGGGAAAATCCATGGGCTTCTGAAGCCAGGGAGACATGGGCTCAAATCCCAGCTCTGCTACTTTCCACACTTCTGTGTGACCTCAGGCAGATTACTTCACCCCTCTGAATCTCAGATTCCTCATCTATAAAATAGCAGCCATTGTATCCTTGTAAGCAATGAATGAGATGAAGTAATGTCTTTCAAGCCAGTGGTTAGCTATGAATCCTGTCTTAAAACAAGGCTTACAAAGAACAAAAGAGAAGAAAAGAGAAGAAATAGAGGCAGGGTGGTCAGAACCCTCCATCCTGGGCATGCCCTATCCTACCATAGAGGTCCCTGGAGGGTACCCCAGGTCTTTGCAGGATACTGTGAAAACCCCGAGATAATGAACACAAAGCTCTGGCACATAGCAGGGTTTCAACAAGTGTTACGTCCCTTTCTTTTCCAACAAAATCACACCAAACACATCTAATTCCTCTTTCCCACATGAAAGCCCTTCAAATATCTGGACACAGCTCTCAAATCTCCCGAGTCCACTTCCTCCCCTGAATAAACATTTGGGGGCCATCATCATTTCTTACAGGAATTGCCTTAAATCCTCTCCTTATCTATCCAAGCTGAGGTCCCACATCTAAGCTCAATTATCTGGTGCCTGCTCAGGGCACGATAAAACACAACTAACTTCCTGGGATAAATTCCAGCAGCTATTTTTTTTAAGTCTTAAACCATGACTTGATATTTATTCCCATTTTATCTTTTCCTACTAATTTAGTCAACGACTCTACCCAACCCAGATCTTTCTGCACTCTGTTTGCTGACTGATATTGTCGTCCCTTTCAAGTTCACGCTGTTTACAGCTTATCCAAACTATTGGAAAAATATGGACAGATTAAGGGCATGTGGATGACATGGAATCGTTCCTCCCTGCTTTGGGGAACATTCACTGCTGAACATCCATAGAATTTCTGAAATGGGGGAAAACTTAGAAACTTCGCATCCATCTCTACTCCCCTTTTCAAAGTAGTGAGTGACAGGGCTTGGTTCTGAATCAAGGTCTCCTGATAGTTTTGTCTGGCGCTCCTCTCATAGCCCCACAGCTGCTGATGTATAATTTTATGCACCAGAACAGCCCACTCATTGAACTACCTGTGTATTGGCTCATTAGTCACTCACTAATTGCTTTGCAATTTGCAACATTTCTTATGTTCACATTTCTTAATCTAACCATCTTCACAGGACCCCTGCGACCCAGGATGTATTATTATCTGTATTTCACAGATGAAGAAACAGATCTTGAGAAAGGTTACATGATCTGCCATGGAGCTAGAAAGTGAAAGAACCAGGATCTGCACTCAGAGTCTAAGTATTTTCTGCTGTTCTGCCTTCCCTAGACACATAGCCTCCTATTCTTAAAAAATCTCAGTATAGCTGTCATCTTTACCCCAGGAGACATCATTGTATGACAGCGTAGGATGGGCTAGCCTCCTGTGATGGGGTGAGCTGTGTTCCCCAATAAGACATGCTGAAGTTCTGACTTCTAGTACTTATAAATGCGACCTTATTTGGAAACAGAGTTGCTGTAAATGTAATGAAGTTAAGATGAGACCATACTGGAGTAGGGAGGGCCCTTAGTCTAGTATGTTGGTGTCCTTATAAGAAGAGGACAGAGAGACACACAGGAAGGTATGTGATGACAAAAGCAGAGATTGGAGTGATGCAGCTACAGCCAAGGAACAGCAAGGACTCACAGCCACCACCAGAAGCTAGGAAGGAGCAGGGGAGGAGTCTACCCAGAGTCGGAGCATGGCCCTGCTGAGCCTTGATGTCAGACTTCCAGGCTCCAGACTGTGAGAGAATAAATGTCCATTGTGTGAAGTCAGCCAGCCCAAGAACACGAATACACTTCCTGTGTACCTGTACCCAGTTTGGAAAGAGAGTACAGGTCCTGGAGCAGGAGGAACCTATGGTACACTGGGGGTATGGTGTGTGAGCCACACTGAAGGGACACCTTCTCCCCGCTCCCTGGGCCCCTGTCTCCCTAGTAGCCACCTAGTCATTTTGAGGACTTTAGGCTCACTTTTGTGACAAAACCCTTTCCTGATCCCCTTTCAGACGTTCCTGAAAAGATGTCTGCTCCCTTCTCTGTGCTCCCACTGGCACTGTCCAGGCAGCTCTTCTGCATGCCATTTCGTTTGCTTTCCCGTCCATCTTACCACTAGAGCACAAGTCCCTTGAGGTAACGCCTAGACTTGATGTGTCTGTCCCTGTTGTGCTGGTCTAGTGTCTGGTACCTAAGAGGGCTTAAGAGTAACTTGTGGATGGCTTCTCCTTCCATCTTTGTAGGGACTGGCATTAGCTGTTATTGGCCAAAGGGGGTTTGGAAGTGTTCAGAAGGATGATGTTGAGGGTATCTTCTGGGCCCCAGGTTTTGCAGTTCCCTTAATGCCTATTTTAAGCAAGAGATAAAGACTCTTGTCTGCATCTTTCTCAGGTCACCAGCAGTGGTGTTTATCTGTTCCTAGCCCTATGCACAGAGTCACTCACTCATCACATGCTACCCAAATAGGGTAGCTTGGGAAGCTACTATCCTATCTAAAGATTTTAAAAATAAGTGACGCCTCTTAAAAGTCTCCATGAGGTATAACTCCCCATGCAATCCCTCCTGACGAGTTGATGGGTGCAGCACACCAACATGGCACAAGTATACATATGTAACAAACCTGCACGTTATGCACATGTACCCTAGAACTTAAAGTATAATAATAATAAATAAATAAATAAATAAATTTTAAAAAGGGGAAAAAAAAAGTCTCCACGAACCAGGTATGAATTGGGGATGGAACTGAGGTGTGCATCTGATGCTGGGTGCCTAGTATTTTAAGTGTTTTATCCCAGATCATCCTCAAAACAACCAGAAGGGCCTCAGAACAAAGAGAAGGCTGGGGCTCAGAGAAGTGGAATAACATGCCTAAGGGGAAGGAAGCTAGTGCAGGGGAGAACTAGGATCCTAGGGCTGGGAGCGGTGGCTCACGCCTGTAATCCCAGCACTTTGGGAGGCTGGGAACGTCATTTGACGTTAGGACTTCGAGATCAGCTTGGCCAACATGGTGAGCCCCTGTCTCTACTAAAAATACAAAAATTAGCCGGGCATGTTGGTGTGCACCTGTAGTCCCAGCTACTCGGGAGGCTGAGGCAGGAGAATCACTTGAACCTGGGAGGCAGAGGTTGCAGTGAGCTGAGATCGTGCCATGGCACTGCAGCCTGGGCAACAGAGTGAGCTCCATCTCAAGAAAAAAAAAAAAAGAAAGAAAAATTCTGACTCCAAATCCAGACCCCAAGTCTCTGACTCCCAGGACACAGTTCATCTGGCTTGCCAAAAGCAGTTACCTTCATAAGAAGCCTTGAATCCCAGGGAGCTGCCACTGCCATCAGTCTGGAAGAGGAGCCACATTTGATGATTGGTGCTGACAATGAGATCCGGGACCGATGTACCTGTCAGGCTGGCAGGAGAGAGATATTTAGAGGTATGCTCTCCACCATGACACCCGAATAGAATGACTGCCTGACCAATGATATCTAAAGGACTATCCAGGATCCAGGCTCACTTGGGCAAATTCTGGGCCCCACTGTGTTTCTGACATTGAAGCCCAGCAGCATGCTCTCCATGTGCTGGGAAGACTCATCCTGTCTCTCCCTCAGCCATGGGTAGAATCACATGGGTTGAAGCTCAACGTTTACTCCCTAGCCCAGACCCTTGGGTTCACAAGGGAGATCTGTGTCCTTGCTTGCTCAGGGGACAGGGATAGTTAGAGCCAAATCCAATCGGGGGGTATCTACATTCTCGCAACTTTTGATCTTTTGTGTGACCTGTACTGCAGAAAAGACCTCCCCCACCCCCACCTCCTTGCTGTCTTTATGTGGGTTTCCCCTCACAGAAACCCATTTCCCCAGTTGGAACCCAAGTCATTCTTTCAATGAGCCATCTCCTTCCACTCCAGGATAAGGAACAAGGCTTAAAGTATAGTCATTATCTGAGGGCCACATTCTTTTTGAAGAAGAGGGTTTAAGCATGGGTGAGGGGGGAGGGGGGATTCAATTCAGAATCCCAAGCCCAAGCACCTACCCATGTAAGATACTGTGCTTATCAATTTCCTACCCATTATCTCATTTAATGGCCCTGTTGCCAGGAAGGTAGGGGTTGTCAGTCCATAGTACAGATGAGAATACGGAAGTGCAGAATGGGCAGTGGCTTCCCCAAGATCAACCTGATACAGTGGCAGAGCTAGGAGTCCCCTGTGCAGGTTGGGATTTCCAGAAGAAATCCAACCTCATTATTTTGTTGAGATCAGACAAATTACCAGCACAGATGGAGGCAGGGGGTTGTGGAGTGGGCAACTGAACTAATGAGTCCTTATCTCTGCTTCACCCAGGGTCTCAGAACTTGGGAGGCTGTCAAGTCGGCTGCAAAGAGGTCATCACACCATGGGGGATATGGAAGTGGAGCTGGGATGGAGCACCTGGGATCCAACAGCTTGGCCTGTGTGATGTCCCTGAGCCTGGGCTCTGACAAGCTGAGTAAGGATTGTGGCCAGGCCAGTGCTGGCTCCTGACTCTGGGGTGCTGATGAGCAAGGGAAAAGGCTGGGACCCCTGCTTTTCCTCTGTTTGACCCAATTACAACACCAGGCTCTGAGTCTGCCATTCATTTGCTGTGGGACCTTGGGCAAGCAGTTGAGCTTCTCTGGGCTTTTTCACTCTATGTTAAAGGAGGGGATTGTATGGTATGATCCTCAATAGCCTTTTCAAAAGCTCTGCTATTCCAAGGTTTTCTCTATGTCAAAGCACACTGGGATTGTGGAAGGAAGAGAGCTAGGATCCTAGTCTCTAGGATCCTAGTCTCAGCACAAAGAGCTGAGGCACCATATGGGTCAGTAAACTAGGGCAGAAAATGAGTGATGGGGATGCACCAAGTGAGGGGGAGAGGTAAGTGTGATGGTGAATTGTATGTGTTAACTTGACTAGGCCACAGGGTACCCAGATACTTGGTCAAACATTATTCTGGGTGTTTCTGTGAGAGTGCATTTGAATGACATGAACATTGAAATCAACAGACTGAGTAAAGCAGATCGCCCTCTCCAAGGTGAATGGACCTCATCCAATCAGTTGAAGGGCCAAACAGAACAAAAAGATGGACCCTCCTCTGAATAAGAGAATTCCTCCTGTGCAATTGGCTTTAAACTGAGACATCAACTTATTTCCAGCTTTTGAACTTGAACTGTAACATCAGCTCTTCCTGGATCTTGAACCTACTGGCATTTGGACTGTGACTACATTATTGACTATCCTGGGTCTCTAGCTTCTTAACTCACCTGGAAGATCTTGGGACCTGTCAGTCTCCCGAAATCACATGAGACAATTCCCTACAACAAATTATCTGTCCGTCCATCTAATTGCTATTTGTCAGTCTATCTATCTATCTATCTATCTATCTATCTATCTATCTATCTATCATCTATCAATCATCTATCATCTACTTATCATCTATCTGTGTATCATCTATCTATCATCTATCAATCAATCATCTAGCATCTATTTTCTACCTATCATAATCAATCAATCTATCTATCTATCTATCTATCTATCTATCTATCTATCTATCTATCTCTATCTCTATTATTTCTGTTTCTCTGGAGAACCCTCACTAATACAGTGAATTAGGCATGGGGCAGAATGCCCTGTGGGCTCACGTTCCATTCAGCATCTGGAAAATCCAGGTCCAGCCATGTCACCTGATTCACTGGTACCATTGGATAAGATAGATCGTATAACTGCCTGTATAGCATCATCTCAGGTAGGTGCAGAAGTTAAAAACACCAGAAAGAACAGCCTCTGGTCAGCCAGCTGTTACTAAATGGCCATTTCTCATTCAGCATTAGAACCGGAAAGAGATATCCTGGAGCTAGCCTTGTTGGGAGTGTGGCATGGGACATTGTCCTTGGCTGAAATCAAAAGAATGAACTTGAGTGCTGGTTCTGCTATCAACCTTCTCTGAAACCTTTGGGCTCAATCTCCCCATCTGTTAAACAGAATAATAACACCAGGGCTTAAGTGAGATAGCAGTGCAAAAGTTTCCATCCAGTGCCTGGGAGCATGGTAGGTGTTTAATGTTGGTGACCCTCCACCTCCTTCTTGGAAGGGGAGATGGATGTGTAGTCCCAGGCCTGTTTGTCTCTGAAGCTAAGCCACATGCCTGAACAGAGAAGCATTTCCTGACTTTTTTTTTTTTTTTTTTTCTGTTTTTAGACAGGATCTACTCTGTCACCCAGGCTAGAGTGTAATGCAATGCTCTCATCTGCAGCCTCAACCACCCAGGCTTGCGCTATCCTCCTGCCTCAGCCTCCTGAGTAGCTGGGACTACAGGCGTGCACCATCATGCCCAGCTAATTTTTGTATTTTTTGTAGAGATGGGTTTTCACCATGTTGCCTAGGCTGATTTCGACCTCCTGAGCTCAAGCAATCTGTTCACCTTGGCCTCCCAAAGTGCTGGGATTACATCAGTGCACCACCACGCTTGGCCTTTTTCCTGGTTTTCAAGTCAGGCTATTGGTGGTGGGCAAAAAGAGAAATAAATGGTCCCAAGAGCACAGGCTCAACACAGTGGAATCTCATGACAGCTTGATATTCTCTCTTGTCTGTAACACGTCATACTGGTCTTTTCAAGCTCCATTGCTGGCCACTATGTCTGTAGTCCTGATTCTCTGAAACCATCCATTTCCCAGGAGTTCTACAAGCACACAGTCAGCAACTCATTGCATTATCTCTGTCTGGGAGTCAGGCTGCCATGGCTGGATGTGGCCTGGAGTAAAAACTGTCAGGAGTGGCAGAACCCAGGAGTCTCTGCATGGAAGCAGCCAGCCATTAGAAGGCTCCAGGATTCATCCACAAACCTCCATCTCCTGCCCCTAACAGACTGCTCATTCTGTTCATTTCATATGAATTCAGTGAGAAGGTGCCCAGTGCTCTTTTCCCCTTGGTCAGAATAGAGAGAGGTGGAGGGATTATTGCTGAAACTAGGAACACTGCAGATCTGTCTTTGCTGTATGTTTGGTCTAGGGACCAGGCAGGACTCCACAAACCCCACCTCACGCCCCAGCCACGTTCCACCTTCCAAACAACACGCCCCACTGCTTACATGTAGAGAACTGTCTTCTGGGCCCCATCACAGCCACCATCCCGGCCGTCAGGGAGTGTCGCAGCCCTCTCCAAATCAAACTCCTCAAAGGCAAGCAGTCACCTGAGGAGGAGCACAGGGATTAGGAGCGGGTAGGGGTTGGCATGAGGAGAAACTCCCAAAGCCTTGAGGGGGAGGAAGGATTTTTCTGTGTTATGTCCCAATGCTCAGAGTCACTGGTGACACCATCCTACCTGACTGACCATTTCTGTGCCACTTGAATGAGTGAACTATTCTCTCTAGGCCATGCGGTCTCCAGGGCCCCCTGATGTTTCTGAAGATGTTCATGGCACATCTGGCCAATTCCGATGGCTGTCACAGCAACCGGGCACATCTGGCCAACAGCGAGATGATTAGACTCTTTCTTCACGCCTTAATGCCAAGAAATCCCCACTGGCTTGTTGGCAATTTTTCCAGGCCCATGTGGAATCTCAGCTCTCTTGCCCCCAGGGACCTGCAGAAGTTTCTCTCATCGTCTCCTCTGCCCGCTTTTCTCCATCCTTTTCATTTGTTTGTTGTTGAATAAATGATGTTCTCAGAAAGAGATTTCAACAAGATTCCTCCCTCTTGTTTAATCACCAGCCCACAAATATTTACTAAGCACTCACCATATGCCAGGCTGGGCAGTGGGTTTCCACAGTGAGCACGACATGGTCCCTGCCACATGGCGTAAGAAGGGGAGATAGAAATGCAAACTGATAACCACAGCACTGGGGTGCGATGGATTGCTACAGGGGAGCTGGGAGGCCGAAGAGGGCCTGGCTCACCCAGCTGGAGTCAGGGGCAGGCACTACTGGACATGGGGGTGTCTGAGGAAATTCTGAAGGCTACTGATGACCCTGTCGAATAGGGGATGCTTGGAAAGGGAGGGAGGATGCTCTAGGAAAGGAGTCAATTCCTGGGGCCTGAGTTATGGCAGAGATGGAACATTCCAGAACAAATTATTCAGTGTCTGTTGCTAGCAGATCTACAAACTGAACATACCTGCTAGCTGCCTGGCTCTGGGGGATAATGTGACCGGGCCTTCAGTGCAAGGAGGTGACTTGGGAAGGTCTAGAATTTGAAAAGTTTCCCTGGAGCTTGGTTTAAAAAAGTCTCATCATCTACCTTCCAAAATTAGAATTTATCGGGAGGAGCAGTAGAGTTTTTAAATGAGTGGGTGACAGGGACATAGGTGTTCGAAAATGTCAGTGTGGCAGTATATGTGGAACTGATTGGCAGGAGTGAGGCTGGTGGTGAAGATGGTTGCAGGCTTTTGTGTGGTGCAGAT